GGGTGTTCTCTCTCGCAGACTGAAGCCCCACTGCTCGTCCGCCCATACCTTGCAGACATGACCCGTTCAGAAATCCATGCAGTCATGACTGGTGGATTTTCCACCATTGCAGGCAGCGTGATGGGTGCCTACATATCCTTTGGGGTGAGTGCATGAGCAGATGTATGCCACATGCTCCCTGCTTTGGGGTCCTGACATTCAAGAACTGCCCTAGACTGATAGGTGGGGGAAGATGCCCAGCAGATGTCCCGTGGTCCCCTTCCATAAGCAGGAGGAGGTCAGGGTACCTCCAAGGCTAGCCTCAGCTTCACTGGCCTGGCCAGAGCCCCAGAACCTTCCAGTTAGAAGGCCCTGCCGTGGGACCCTCACTACACTCCTTGCACAGTGCGCAGGGCAAATATCCCTGAATCATGGGATAATTTAGCCTGGAAGGATCCTCTTGGCGGTCTCTGACCCACCCTCCTGCCCAAACGAGGTGATGACAAAGACCAAGGGGATGCCCAGGGCCTTGTCCAGGTTGGTGGTGAACACCCCCATGGATGAAGATCTCTCCCCACCTCTCTGGTCCACCCACAGGTGCTTCGGTCATGTGGAACTGTTTTTTTTCCTTATATCCAACTGGAATTTTCCCACTGAAACAGTGCCATTGCTTCTCACCATTTCGCTGGGCACCTCTGTGCAGTGTCTTCCCTCCAATGCCCTTTTAAGTAGTTGGGAAGAGCAACTACAACCCGTGCAGTCCTCTCTTCTCCCAGGCGAACAAGCCCCCCTCCTCCAGCATGGCCTTAACAGTCCTGTGCCCCAACCCCGCCAGGGACACCCGCTCCAGTTCATCAGTGTCTCAGCCCTGGACACAGTGTCCAGACGTGGCCTCATCAGTGCTCTATAATGGGGCATAAACCTTCCCCTCGACCTGCTGGATGAGTTCCTGCTACTTAAACATTAATTAGGCTCCTTAAATGGGGAGTCAAGGGTGAAAGGTCAGAGAAAGGAGACGTCACTCATCAGGCAGGGGAGGAGTGAGACTGGGAGCACAGCTCTTTGTCAGCAGATAGAAGTTTGCATTGTTGCACAACCTATTGCTTTGATATTGATAAAAAAGGACAAGAATCATCATGATCAGGTCAAAAAACAGGAGAGATTATCACCTCTGAGGCTGCCGTTGCTGCAGCTCCAGCAATGCCTCCACCCAGGTGACCTGCCCTACGTGCTGCAGCCAGCTGAGATGGGAAAAATGTCTCATTTTTCTCACCCTGAGCAAATGGAGAGCCCTGAACGGCTCAAAACATCTCTGGATGATGCCAGCCACATGCTGGGCTGCCCTGAGATGGCACGTCACGGGACGTAGCCTTGCACAGAGGTGCCTAAGCCCACGGTCTGCACATTGCAGATAGATGCAGCATCACTGATCGCAGCCTCCGTCATGGCTGCACCCTGTGCCCTCGCCATGTCCAAACTCGTCTACCCTGAAGTGGAAGAGTCCAAGTTCAAGGACAAAGCAAGCATCCACCTCTCCAGTGGGTGAGTGTGAGAAGGGGGATGGCGGAGTGGGGCCACCTGTGCCCTGAGTGGACATTGAGGGTGACCTGTGGTTGAGAGAGCCTGTGGGATGAGAGCGGGCCTTGCACAGGGGGTTCCCAGCCACACGAGCCCACTGGGGTGTCTTTTCACACAGGGAAGAGCGGAACATCCTGGAAGCTGCAAGCAATGGGGCTGCTGCCTCCGTGGGGCTCGTGGCCAACATTGCGGCCAATCTCATTGCCTTCTTGGCGATGCTGGAGTTCATCAACGCTGCCCTGCGCTGGTTTGGGGAGATGGTAGACATCGAGGGGCTCTCCTTCCAGGTACCCCTGAGGGCAGCCCCATGGTCTGAGCTGCCAGATCCTGCATCCCCACTGCCAAGCCCCTTGCTGGGTGTTTGGCAAATGCTGGCAGCAGGTGTCCAAGCTGGGGGCTGTGCAGCCGGCCAGCTCTGAGCTGCTCCCTTCTGGGATACTTTTCCCAGGTGATCTGCTCCTATGTCCTCATGCCTGTGGCCTTTCTCATGGGAGCAAACTGGGCAGACTCGCCGCTGGTGGCTGAGCTCTTGGGGATGAAGATCTTCCTGAATGAGTTTGTGGCATACCAGCAGCTGGCCACGTACAAGAAGAACCGTCTGTCGGGCCTGGAGGAGTGGGACGGGAGCCGGAAGCAGTGGATATCTGTGAGGGGAACCTGCTGCCCTGCGGGGCACAGGGCAGGGATGGAGCCAGCTGAAATGGGGCATGGGATGTGGCCAGGCAGACAGGTGGTGGGTGGGCAGGGGGATGACATTGTTGGGGTGGGAGGGCACCCATGGCCAACTAGACTTTAATGTTCACTAACTGCTGGGTACGGGGCCATCCTGAAGGAGTCAGTGAAACCCTTTCCCATTTACCCTGCTCCTTGGTGGGACAGACCATGGTGCTACGGGGCCCCCTGTCCCCCCAGCCCAGCCTCTTCCAGGGGCAAGCTGCCTACCCCTGCATCCTCGCTCCCAAAAATACCTGGAGAAAGGGTTAGGATGGGAGACTCATCTCCATCATGTCTGGCTGGACTGGGAGCTACGACATGGTGCTCAGCACTGGGTGCTCTGGGGCTGCTCCTGGGCGGAGGTGACCATCCCCTGACGCTGTGCTCTCCAGGAGCGATCTGAGAGCATTGCCACCTTTGCACTTTGTGGATTCGCCAACCTCAGCTCCATCGGGATCATGCTCGGAGGCCTGGGTGAGTGTGACCCATGTCCTGGGTGCCTGGGCACGATGCAGGGGGATTCTGGGCCCAGGGAGCAAGGGATCAGCTGGGTCAGGAGCTATTTGCTGCCCTCAAGCCTCCATGTGTGGTCTCTGCCAGTGGATCTGCATGAGGTGAGAGGGATGATTTTGCACTGCACCCACAGATAAGCATGTGCATGTCCCACAAGCCCAGCAATGGGACAGAGGGCAGAGACTCCACCGCCGAGAGTGCCCAGGGCTCTGGCTGATCACCCACGGGCGCAGGGTGGGCAGAGCACTCTGCCAGCACCCACCACTGCCAGGGCGGGCAGACAGCACGCTGGGTGCTGGCTGGGATCACCACGTCCCCCAGACACCAGGGGTTGGGGCAGGCAGGGCACTGTGTGGCAGAGACAGCTGGGGACCTGGGACACGTCCCTCTGTCCCCAGCCTGGGGTAGAGCCTGAGCAAGGATCTGATTCATCCCAGTCTCTGCTTTGCCCCCACAGCCTCCATGGTACCCGAGCGGAAGGGTGACTTGGCCTCCATCGTGCTGCGAGCCCTGCTCACTGGCATCTGTGTCTCCATGCTCAACGCCTGTCTGGCAGGTAGGTCCCTGCCCACCACCAGTGGGGCCAGAAAGAAGCGGGGAGAGACAAGCAAAGGGCTGAAGACCCCTATAAATACAGGTGCAGGGGTGGGGATGGCTGGCCTGTCCTCCCCATGGTTCTGCCAAGGCCTCCAAACCCTCTGCTTTCCCCTCATGGTTTTGCCAGGGGCTGCCCAAGCCCAATGGCTCTGCTGGGGCCCCTCATCCTCATCTAGGCTGGGATGGGGACAGCTCAAGGGCAGCTTCTGGGGCATTGCAAGGAGTTCCCTGGGGTCACTGCTGCAGCCATCTCCGGGGTGAGGGGGGGACAGTGCCTGGGACCTGCAAGCACTGTCCCAGGTATAGGATTTGCAAGCGTGCTCAGGGTGTGGGATTTGCATGCATGGTCCCTCAGGAGCCCCAACCAGAAGACCTTGTCCCCCAGGTCTCCTGTATGTGCCAACAGAGGTGGGCGACTGCGTGACCTTTCTCCGCACCGCCAACTTCAGCTCTACCAGCTACACCATGTACACGTGCTGCAAGCAGCTCTTCGCCAGGTGGGTGGGAAGGGCCCCAAGCCCTGTGGTCCTGCCCGGGGATCCAGGTGGTGGCTCAGCAGCTCGTCCTGACCATGCTTCTCTCCTTCCAGCTCAGTGCTCACCAACGGGACACTCTCCTTCACGGGAGCCTGGGCTGGCCTGGCAGAGAGCGTGCTGTGCCTGACACAGTGCTGTGGGCACTACAATCACACGTCCTGCACGGGGACAACCTAGAAACATACAGGCAACTGCCTGCTCTGGGGGTGAGGGCCTGGGAACACCAGGGTCTGTGAGGCCTGGGCCCAAATGTAAGAAAAAACACCAGCAGAGATCTGTGTGTTTGATCTTCTCCCCTCCAGGGATGACAGACAGCCACATGCACCTTGCAACCCGCACCCTTAGATGCTGGACCCGCAGACACAAGGGAACTACTCCTAAATAAATCGTAGAAATCCCTGTATGCTTGCCCTGAGCCCCACTTCAGCCCCTGGTCGTGGCTGTCCCACAGAGGACGAGGTGCTTTGCCCAGGCTGCACCCCGCCACTGCGGCTGCTGGAGCCAGTGTCCACTGCAGCCCAGCCTCCACCAGCTGCCAGCTTTGGGGTCTGGCCCCAGGCACCCTCTTCTCCCCTGCAGGGTGTGGATGGGGGTAAAACCATTACTTGAAGATGTTTTCTTCCCCCGAACACAAAGCCACCCCATCCTGCTGTGCTTGGGTGCATCTTTTTGACAGAGACTGCAGGGCTGGGGACCAGGCCAGTCCTTCTGGCTTTATTGCACTCCAGAGCCTCCCTTCACCAAGGCGGCCATGTTATGTACATCATCATTTTACAATGACCCAACAACAAAGCACGAGGACCCCAGAGCACGGTGCGCTCCCTGCCTGGTCCCTTCCCTCCTCCGCCAGGCTGCACTGAGCCACCGTTTTGGGCACCAGCCTGTGGGGCAGCACTGCTGGCGCCTGGCCCCCTCCTCCACAGCCCCAGGGAAGGGGCAGTCTGTGGGCAGCACAGGGGCTCTCGGCACACCTTGCTGCCCACCACCACACTCTGCTGCTCGCCGCACCCCGGAGTGAGCTGATGGGCACAAGGGAGCCTTGATGCCATGGAGGGTGCTGCAGCTTCCAGCACGGGCCTCGCTGCCTGTCCCCGCTGCCTCGTGCCACGTGGCAGGAGGCTCTGGAGTAGGTGCTGTGAGCTGCCACTGGAGTAGGGCCTGTGCCAAGCAGGAGATGGCAACCAAGCGTGAGCAGGTTGTGCTGGGGGGCTGGGCAGGGCCTATGGGGTGTGTGTCGGGCAGGCAGGCGAGGGGGCTGAGTCCTGGGGGCTGGACACCCACATGCTGAAGCAGCACCCTGGCATGGAGGGGAGGTGTCCCCTTCACCCCGCACCCAGTGCCCTGTGTGAGGTAGAGCATCTTTGCTGTGGCGCCGGCTGGCACCCATAGCAGCACTGCTGCCCTCAGTATCCACCCAGCAAGGGCATGGAGGGACACCCTGGGGCACAGGGAGGGCCACGAGGGAAGGGGGGCAAAATGCCAGTGCCCTGCCAGGGGACTGGCCTGCACCCCAGAGCCCCACACAATAGCAGCAGGACCCCTTCAGCTCGCCACTAAACCCCTCTGCAGAAAACCTTGTAAATCAGTGTGCCAGGACAAATGACCCCATCTGGGTGCTGCTGGGTTCACATCCTTGGCACAGAGCTCTGGCAGGGCTTGGTACAGTCGCTTTACAGAGGATACAAAGAAGGACATGAGGTGCTGGGAGCCAGGAAGGCAGCCTGGAATCCCAGTTTGCTCAGGGAAACCAAGCAGGGGGCATGGTGCCTGAAAAGCCAGAGGGAGCAGGTCTGACAGCCCCTGCCTTAAGGAAGGCAGACAGGAGAGTCAAGAGAGGGCAGCTGAGCCTGAGCATGGAGGAGCACGTGGCCCCACCAGCTCCACCACAAGCAGCAGCTTCTGTAGAGGTATGGGCAAAGGGGTCCATGCTGCCTGCGGCTCGCAGCCCCCCCGACCCCAGCTGAGCCGCTCACACTAGCACGCACTACACAAGGCAAGGGCTGCAGGCCAGGGTGGGAGCCAGAGGGAGGAGAGTGGGGTGGCAGCAACCACTGCTGGGCTCTCCCCTCCCTAGCCTGGCCACATGCTGCCTCTGGGAAGCTCAGGCTGGGGTCCTGGGCTACTGAGGGCAGCCAGACCTGCCACTCTCTCCTGATCCGGGTTTGGAGGCTGTCAGGGCCTCCCCTGTTTCTGCAGCCTTCCGGGAGCTCTTGGGGCTCACGGCAGCCTTGCGGGTACCCTGGGGACTTGCCAAACCCTTCTTCTGCAGCTGGGGGCTGGACTGAGCAGATTTCCTACCCATGGAGGGGCTTCTGGAGCCCTTGGGCTTGGCTGGCTCCAGCGTCTTCAGGCCCAGGATGCTGCAGTAACGGTTACACTGGTGAGCAGCCACGAATTGCTCCAGCAGGGAGGGGAAGCAGCTTTCCTTCAGCCCCTGGTACCTGCCAACACAGCCATCTCAGCCCCTGCTTCACACCTGGAGACATCCCACTGGAGCAGGGAGCCAAGGACGGAGCCTGGCCACCCTCACCACCATGGCCCTTCACCACATGAGCAGTGGAGCTGGGGACAGCCAGGGCCACCCTGCACCAGCAGCACAGGGCCACTCACCCTTTCAGGTTGGTAGCAATCCGCACATTGGTCAGCTTCCAGCCCACTCCTGCAATGAAAGGGAAGACAACCAGGCTCTGCCCAGGGATGGACAGGCACCAGCACCAAGAGCAGGTCATTGCCCTGTGAGTTGGGCTCAACAGCACGTGGGGAAAGAGGCAGGAGAGCAAAGCTGGGGCTTCTCCTCCTCTTTTCACAGGCCAGAGTGGTGAGGAGTCACAGGAATCAGACAGGAGATCCCATTACCTTCCATGTCAGTCACGAGGATGTTTCCATTTGTCCACTGGTAGACCCAATGCTGGAAGGTGCAGCATTTGAGCACGATCTCCGAGGTGCCTCGTGCCATCAAGCTGCCATCTCTCTCAGTGACACAGTACTGCTCACAGGGCCCACCCAGGTCCTCCTCCATCGTGGCATAAGGGATGTTGTTGGCCGGTCGGTAAATCAGGTACACAGGAATTATCCTGCATGGGAGCACGCAGAGGGGGTCAGCACCAGCTGATGAGCTCTCCCATCGCAGCAAGTGGAGATTCACACCACAGTCTGCAACCCTGGCTTCTGCCTGCCCCCCCCCAGTATCCCTTCAGTTTGAGGGTGGGAGAAGAGCATGCTGCCCTTCGGGATGTCCTCAGCACCAATGGGGAACCCTTCCACCACCCACGGGACGCTTTGCTGGGATGTCAACCCAGCAGAGCCGCAGCACCTTACTTACTCGGGCACTGCTCCAAAGTCAGGGACAGCTCGTGCCTCAGCAGCGAAGATCTTGCAGTACTCACGGCTGGAGTTCTGGATTTTACATTCCTGGAGATGCAAACAGAAGAGTCAGAAACTTGTCCCGTCTTGCACCAACACCTCCCTGGGACCCCCCGCCCAGCCAGGCATCCCCTGGGACCACTGCCAGTTATTTCCCTATCCTAGTGGTCAAAGGACAGTGACAGGAAAGCTCCAAGCTGCTCCATGTTGCTCAGAGAGGAGAGCTGAAGCCAAGAATAACAAGGACATTGCCAACCCGCTGGAACATGGCTCAACCCCTCCAGAGCATTCAGAAAGTGGATGCAGATGAAGAAAGTGGGCACAGAGCTGGGGCCTGTGGCACAAATAGGCAAGGGAAGGTGTGGGGGAGACAGGCAGAGGATGTCCCACAAGGATGCCCACCTGGATGGTGATATCGTAGTTCTTCTCGATGAGGCTGTTCTCATTCTTGGTCCCAAAGACAATGAAATTGTGCACTTTGATGACGCAAGTGCAGCCAGACTCAAAGATGGGCTCCAGGCCGTAGATGGCTCTGGCACGGCAGGCTTTACGCAGGAAACCAGCACCCACTTCCACGTCCTCGCTTATCACGCGCCCGAAAAGCTTATCTCCCCAGTAGCCTGCGTCAGCCAAACCCTTCGCGAACACCATGGGCGTCATCTCAATCTCCTCTCCAACTGGTGGAGGGAAGAGTTTGTGAGGGGGGACAACAGGGGCATGTCCTGCCCCCACCACAGAGCTGCCTGCCCCTGCACAGCAAGGGGCAGCAGTTGCACATGGCCCTTACCTTCGATCTCTTCCCGCAAGATAAATCCCGACAGCACTAGAGGAGACAGAAGCAAAGAGGTGTCAAGGTCCTGCCAGGATCCACCCTGTGCCATGCACTTCCATACCAAGGGGCAGCAAAGGAGGGTGGTGTGAATCACTCTTAACTGAGCATGCGGAGGCAGATGCACCTCACAGAGGTGGTGTTAGGGGCTGTGTGAGGCTTCCTGTCCGCAGGCTGGCACCAAACCCTCTCCGCAGGTTGCCACGCCACCCCCCGGCACACCTGGGCAGCTGGAGAGCTGCCAGGCTGCTGAGGGCTCCTCACCTTCCGGGCTGAGCAAGAAATCGGTGGAGTCGGTGCCGTACTCATTGCTGATCATGCACCGGTACACCCCGCAGTCCTTCTGAGACGCCTGCACAAGAGCCAAAGCTGCCTGGCCCTCGTCCCCAGCACTGGAAGAAACCAGAAATGGCTTTAAACTGCAACAGGGGAGGGTCAGACTGGACATTAGGAAAAAAATGTTTCCCAGAAAGAGTGGTCAGAGAGTGGAACAGGCTGCCCAGGGAGGGGGGAGTCTCCATCTCTGGGAGTGTTTAAGGGCCATCTGGATGAGCTGTGGGGGGATGTGCGGTAGGGGAGAATTTTGTAGACTCGGGCTGAGGGTTGGACTCAATAATCCCGAGGGGCTTTTCCAACCTGAACGATTCTGGGATTCTGTGAAACCAGAGAGCACGGCCTCAGCCCCACACGACGTGTGGGGGCACACAGGGTCCCTGGGACAGGCACTGCAGGAGGGCACTATGCTGCCCTTGGAGGGCTGGAAGAGGGCTACAAAGGAAGCCAGCCCAAGGGCATCCTAGTTGTGCCCCTGGCACATCACAGCACCAGGAGTCCTGCCCTGCAGTTTGTACTCACAGAAATGCTCAACTTCCAGGAAAGCCCTACAAAATCTGTCCCGGATTGGGCTACAGACTGATAAAGGTACTTGCTTCTGAGTGGCTGGGCCAGGGCTGTGCTTGAGCTAACAGACCTGCATCTGGATGGGATGGCTGGAAGCTGAACAGCCACATTTTCAGCTTCATTTTCAGCTGTTCTCAAGTGAGGGCAGACACCACTCCCCATCCTGCAGCTTGGCCCTCTCCAAGGGACTGGAAAAGCACAAGCTCTATATCAGCAGGCTGCCAGTCCTCTCCAGTCTGCAGCACCAAGTTTTGGGCTGGCAATTCCTCTAGCCCAGGTGGCAACACACCTTGCAGACAGGCCTGTTTCTGCCCCATATGGCCAGCATGAACCAGCAGGCTGATGACAGGCCGCAGATGGGAGAGGTGGGACCGGCATCCTGAGACCTGCTGGCTGAGTAGGCTCTGCTGTGGTCAGGTACAAGGCAACGGCCCCTCCTGGCCCATCTGTCCCAGCTCAATATCTGCTGTAGGAGATCGTTTCTGCCACAGAAGCACCTCTTTCTGCCTGCATGTTATAAAAGTGCCCCAAGAGATGCTCAAAGGCATCAGGCAAATCCTGTCCAATGTGGATGATGTTCCCACACAAGCTCCCTTGGGCTTGAGAACATGAGGCACCCAAAGGAGCATCCAGGATAGAAGCCACCCAGCCATCTGGACATGCTGTCCCTGTGTAAGGGCGGTACCAAGGGACAGAAAAGGCACAGCCAGAGCTGCTTTTTCCCTGTTGGTGCTTGCCAGTAGTGGCTGCATGGGAGCACCTGCTCAGGTGCAGTGTGCCATACCCTCACATGTATCACTTGGGGTCCCAGTTTTGCAGCTCATACCCAGCTCTCAAACTCTGAGGTGGGCACAGCACCTTCTCTGCCCTCCCCAAGGTTTGTGTTCAGCCCCTGCCCTACCCAGGGCTCTGCTACTCAAAGCACCAGCCCTTAAGCCAGGCTCTGGATAGAGTGTCAGCAGGACAAATTTGGTAGCAATTGTCCATCTGGATGATCCCTCCCTCCTCGGGCACCGAGAAGATAAAGTTCACAACATGCAATGAGTTTCCCATGCAGCCTTAACAGAAGAGGCACCTCCACGCCAGTAAACGCAAGGAGCTGAATTTAACACACCAACCCTGGGCTATGCACAAAGACTACAAAGTGAAGCTGGTCAGTTACCTCCTTTGGGCTTCTGCTACAGGGATCTCGTCCTTGTACCACATCAGCTTAGAATCGCTCAAAATATTGAAGAACTGGCACCAAAGTTTCAGGTTTCCTGATGCATCGGAAAATTGTTCTGCCCTGATCTTACGAATCACCTGTGGAGCTAAGGACAGGGTGAAAAGAGATGGAATGTGAGACACGCGCGCTGGCTGCAGCTCCAGGGACAGGCCAGCCTGACCCAGTGCTGCTGCTTAGGACTTTGGTGTTGGGCATCTCAGGTTATCTCACACAGCCTGGTATAACATCACCTTCCCTGGAAAGGCCTCAGAGCTCCACTCGGATAAATACAGTGGGATACAAGTGACACAAATTTATTCAACAGTGCAGCACTACAATACCTAGTAGGGCTCAGCCAGAGGCAATGCAGAAAAACTCTATGCAACATTGGAGGAAACATTTATCTGCTGAAGTGGGGATTTATCAAGGTTACCCTTACTTTTGCAAGAGTGCTGATTTCTGTGAAGGTACCACATGGCACCCGCAAGCATTTCAACACCAGGATTATGACTCTTCTAATTTAGTGCCACAAAGGATCAAAATATATTGACTATGGAGGTGGAAGAGAAGTGTGCACCCTACTGTTGCCCACTGGACCCCTTACCAGCACGAGGAATGGTGAGGACTAGGACATAGAGACCAAGAACAAAAAGATTATATGATTCCTTTGGCCAGGGAAGTCCAAGCTGTAGAGACAGCCAGTTCAGTGCTGCTGTCTCTTGTCTTCTTCTACCCTCCCTGCACTAGGGAAGAAATCTTGGGGCAGACTTTTGGCTTTCACATGGCCAAAGGGCAATGCTGAAAACCCTGCAAATGCAGAAAAATCACATGGTCCCAGCTGACTATCACCATCTCAGTTGGCCGGGGTTCCTTTATAGGCAACAAGGGAACTTGCTTCATAGGACTACCTCTTCCCTTACCTTTAAATGGATTATTTGCTTTCTTGGACTCCGCTGGCTGTGCTTCTGGCTTAGCATCTTCAGGGACCTCATGGTCACCACTGCTGTCACCTATGGGCTCCTCATAGAGCTTTGGAACCTCCAACGTGGCCATCTTCCTTGTGAGGGTTGGAGAGCGCTGTTCTGTGGGAGGGGATGGAGCCAGGGCAGGCGACTGCAAAAGGGCCGTGTTCTTCCTGGATTGCCGTGGTGAAACGGTAGGACTTCTCATGTGCCCTGAGCTCTCTGAGATTTCCTTCTCTTCCTCACCCACCTGCTTGGTTTTTGGCAGGTATATTTTGCGCCGGGCCCCAGAAGCAAGCTCCTCTGGCGTGGCACAAGGAAGCACTGCCAGAGGGTCACCAGGGCTCTCTTTTTCAGGGCTTGCTGGAGGCAAATCAGAAATATTATCAGGAGGCTGTTCTGTTCCTGCTGCTGGCAGAATGCTGCCCACCACGATGGAGGGCACAGAGAGCTGGGGTGACCCCTCTGCCTCGGGAGCCACCCGGGTACGTCTCTTTGGTGGCACAGGTCTGCAAGCCAGCATCTCCTTGCTGGTAACAAATTCCTCGTTAATCATGCCCGTGATCCGCCTAGATGTCCTGGGGGTCAGAGGCAGGTTCTCTGCTGTCTGGAAGAGCTGATTGTTTTGTACCTTTTCCAAAACTCTCCTTGAGGTGCGGGGGCTCAGGCCTGCAATGCCTATCTCTGGGACCATGATTTCCTCTGCATCAGGCTGCTCCTCATCCCTGGGGTCAGTGTCTTCTTTCATGGCACCCTTACTGCTATCTGACATTTTTAAAAGCAGCAGCAGATAGTTCTTCAAGGAGGAAACGAGGTTTTTGTGCTGCACCTTTTCCTCCAAAGACATCTCCTGAGGTCTCTCAGGGCTAGGCAGGACCAGAGGCACTTGTGGCTGAACCTCACCACCTCCTTCAAAAGCACCTGAAGGTGCTGCCAGTACCCGGTGTTGAGCTGTGGTTGTTTGCTCTTCTTCTTTTCCCCCAGGTCCCACAGGTGCTGGTTTGGCACTCTCCTCCCCTAATGTACTAGCTGAAAATACCTCTTGCTGGGCAGATCCATTTGCCTCTTTGATTTCCATTTCTCTGCTTGCAGCAGGCAGCAGCTGGGCTCCAGATGGGACCTCTCCCACTGTGGCCTCCATCTCTGAGGCACTGTGAGCTGCAAGCAGTGCCTCCCGAGCCACTGATGTCCCTGCTGAAGGAGCAGGACGCAGCTCTTCCTTGGCAAGTCGAACTGGAGCAGGAGCCAGCGTTTCAGTCTCCTGATGTCCTGAAGGTGTCCCTCCCACCTCTCTGTGCACAGCCCCGGGAGATGCTGCACTGCTCCCTCCTGCCTCCGGACCAGGATGGCTCCCGGACAGCTCTGCTCCCGCCTCTTTGTTCTTCCCATCCTTGACTACTGTCTGACGTGTGATCTGCTCAAGAGGAGTGCTTTCTGCAGGCTCTGGAGGACACAATTTCTTTAGCAATGGCTTTTCCTCACCTTGGCTTTTGGCCTCTTGATTTAACAGTCCTTGTTGAGTCTCTCTGCCCTCAAGAGAACGGGAATGTCCTTCTGCCTGCTTCCTAGAGGGAGGGTGCTCCTTGCTGGACTGCACATGCTCTGAAGTTGCTGGTGGCTTTGGTGGCTCCTGAAGCCTCAGCCGAGGATTTGTCCTTTTCCCAGCCCCCCTGGTCTCCTGGCAGACAGGCATATCTTTCCTGAGCTCCTCTAGCTTACTGGCTTGCTGACCAGGCTCTACAGTTACACCGGACACTGGATGTTTTAGGTCACTAGTGGACTGTTCCACTGTTGCTGCCACCTAGTTAGAAAAACAAAACAGAAAATCAGCCCAATTTTACTGCTTGGGTCTACTCAGTGGTGCTCGTGGTTCATCTGTACCATATGGCACTGCCCAGCATCTGCCTGAATTGTAAGTATTAACCTGGTATCACTGGGCCTCCTGGCTTCATCGTCATCTGACAGTAGTCAGTGACACAGCCCACTCTCATGCTGCATAATTTTTTTTTAAATCAGCCCCAACTCTTCTGTCTTTCAATGCCTTGGTTGTGAACAGAGATAGATCTGCCTCTCTAAAATATTAAATGGCTTTTAATTCAATCTTATCTGACACAGCACCTTCCCAAGGAGGAAAACTCCCATTTTCACCAGTCATTGCTGAGACCTCATATAATTTCCTTGCTCTTTTTTAAGACTCAGTGCTCCCCCTACACTATATCTGCAATCTCCACTCTGAGATGGGGTGATCAGCATGATTTATAGGGAAACTCTACACCATGACGTTATCTGCACTATTCAACCATCCTGTTTCTTTGACATTCAGGAAGCACAAATGTTTCCGACTACAACTGCACACCAGCAGACATTTCAGCAAACTGCCCACTGTGACGGCTGAGCTTTATCCCGAGGAGATCTGGCAAAATCCTCCAGCCAAGAGGCACTATCTATTTTTGTAGGATAAGGCTCAGGGGAGGCAGCGATACTGCTGATACACGTTGTACCCAGCTGATGCTCAGCCTGCAACATCAGGACAACCCTGAACAATGGGGAACAGGGCATGCACACTACAGGTTCCCCTTCCATCCCAGAGGATCTGCTGCTGAGGATTTTCTCTTGAGGTCTCCAACTTGACCTTTAAGCCTCCAAAATGATGTCCATGGGAAAGGAGGACTGTGGCACTTAGCCTTTCCATTTTGTGCCACTTCAGCTTCATCTGAATGCTTGGAAAAATCAGAAAGGGTAATGCCAATCTCAGAGCAGGCTCTTCCCCAAGGAATTGTTATGACAATGTGAGTATCAGAGGACTGGGGTAGGAAAATCAGCATTAGTGGGGCTATTCCTGCACACAGAATTCATGTCTGCTTCCTTAGTAGATTCCAAAGGATGCCAAAGGCCAGGCAGTTTCTGTCTCCACACACAGGGTGTGCAGAAATAGGTCCGCAGTTCACAGGGTCGCACAGGCACCCCCAGATGCCACATGTCCCTGCTGCTGTCCCCCTAAAGCCAAGTCCTCGCCTGCTTCAATGGGCTAAATGTCACAACACAGCATCCCAGTGCTCAGGATTAAAAGATTTTATTAAGAGACAGACAGGCTTCATGCAGTGAAACCTCCTCCACAGCATCTGGTCCTCTGTGGCACAGAAAGAGATGAGGACAGACACAGCCCTGGTCCCTCTGCCTGGGGGCTGAGCAGCACAGTGCCCACAGGGGCTGGATGTGGACTCGAGCTGGTGGTTCACAGATGGATGCAAAGAGGCAGCTCTACGCAACAGTGCTGGTCAATGGGGACATCTCTTTGGCTGAAGACAACTTGGGGCTTGGGGAGGGATTTGCTTATCATTGGTGCACAAACCGAAGCTTATTCAGAAAATATTTCTGGGAGCTTTTCTGAAAAGCATCTGTCCTTACGTAATCGTAACACACAAACTAGGGGCATATAAAAGAAATATAATAAAATCACCAGTTTCTAAGCTAGGCAAGAGTGATCATCACACAAATCCAGTTTCTTCTCTGCTCTTGTGCCTGAGGATGTTCAGATACTGGCTATGGTCTGGCATTTTACAAAGCCCTTCTGCTATGGATAAATCCAGCTCAAAAGAGAAGCCCTGAGCATGAGGCCCAGCTAGGTTCCAAGGCCAGGAAAACACTCATGCTACAACCCTGTCTTGTTTAAGGGATTTAAAAAGACAAGCAACCCACGTCCTGGGGAGTGAAAATATCCTCAAACACCTTCAGACTCAGCTTTGAAGGGCTTTAAAATAGCTTATTTGGTCACACAAAAGCCTGAACACTTTCCCCAGCATCACCAACTAGCTGAAGCATTCAAATTCAAATAAAAAGTGTTCCCTTTTGTCTACTCAAAGGCACACAAGCTGACAAGTTACAGGTTTCCCTCTGTGAGTGGGTTTTTGAAGAGGAAAAATACCTTGATGCATGTCAAAGGCTCAGGGATGACAGCCCAAGCCTGACTGCTACCCACCAACACTTTTCACTCTTCTTAAGAGCAAGGAGCATAAAAATGAGCAGAGAGGGAGAAAACAAATTGCTTTGCCATGGGCTTGCATGCACAGCAATAATTTTTGCAGCAATATGTGATGCGTCAGGTTAAAGATAGGTTCAGGGCGCTGCACTGTGGTGAGGCCAGGACCCAGATGCTCACTTCACTGCATAACAGCAGGTTTCTTACCAGTAAATGGTGCTCCTACCTTTGGCTAAAGAAATCTAGAAGAAAGGAATTTTTTTTTTCACTAGAGCAGCTGGCAGTCCCACTTTCCGTAACATGGATGTTTCCGCATTCTGAAGTATTTGCATTACCTACTAAGGGAGCCGTGCTGCACCCAGATTGTCTCTGATAACCTTGGTCTGTACTGAGAGTGTGCACCTACCATAGCTCAAACACCAAACCCTGACAGCACCTGCAAATTGGACTTGGAGACGATTTTACCACAAAAGGGGTTACTAAAGAAAAATGGAAAAAAAAAAGAGGACTGGTAGCTTCCAGTCTAATATTTTGATGGAAAATGCTTCAGGTTAAGTGCCAAAAATAGAAGTTGACTAAAAGATGCAGTGAGCGTCAGGAGCAGGTGCTGTGCCCTGGCGCTGTGTCACCACCACAATGAGTCTTGTAACAGAGTTTTTCCAACAGGGAAGAGCCAAAAAATAGCCCAGATCTACTGTATACATGTTGCACTGCAAACAAAATTCAATGCCCTGCCCAGTACAGCTCACGTGGCATACCTGGCACGCTGCACTCATTTGCATGGGGGGCCCGTTAAACGCCAGCTGAAGCTCAGGTTCAGTTGCTAAACTGAACAAATGTCATCAGTCTCGCTGCCTGTTATACGCACAAGGCATCCACCCCCAACTATAAATAGCCATTCAGTGCTCCCTGCTTAACTGATTTGGAAACACTTCGGATGAGGTCAGCCTGCCGATTAAACAGGAGAGCTCACAGCAGGCCCTAGGCCGCCCAGAGACCAGCTGCTTGGCCAGAGGGCCCTGACGTACATCTCTCCTCACCACCCCATCTGACATTTATTTGGAGATGGGGTGGAAGCTCTGCTGTCTGGGCGCACAAAGTTCAGAAAGCCCTTTTTTCTGGGTGCTTTTGCCAGTGGACATCTACGAAACCTCGGCAGCAGATCCTGTGGGACAACACAACTGTGCAGCACAAATACTTTCTTGTTGCAACCCCTGCGTTGGCTGCTTTCTGTTCTAGTTACCTCTGGACCGATGGCTTTGTTTCCCGCCAACTTCTGGGCTTGCTGCTGGCCTCTCTGTCCCTTGGACGGCACAGATCCTGCCTCCGACACCTCTGAGGACGACAGAGCATCCTCTGTCCGTCTGCCAGCTGCCACAGGCTGCAGGGCAGCCTCGCCTGCAACCTCTTCCTTGGCTCCTGCCTCCTCCTTCCCTGCTGCTGGCTTCTCTTCCTTATCAAAATACATCTCTTTCAAAGAGAAGTGCATGTTACCATTGACTTTAGTGTCCTGATTCACAGCTTTCCCAGGCTGTTTGATTTTTTGATTGTTTTCCACTTCTTGATCATTTGCCACCCTCAAACGTGCGCTCCTGCGTAAAGGGACAGGAGGCACAAACCTTGGATTTGGAGAGGGGTTAGGCCTGTCTTTTCCAGTTTCTTCTCGCTTGGAAACTTCCTGCTTTGCTGCTGGAGGAGCCACAACCTTCTTCTTTTTAGCTGCAGAGTCTTTTGCCATTGGCTTAGTCGCTAGGTCCTCCACTGTCTCATAGATGTATGCAAGGAAGCTGCTCCCGTTCTCCTCCACACTTTCCAAAGAAGTGTCTCCATTGGTGGTCACATCTGCTTTCAAAGGTGCTATCAGCTTGTTTGGAAAGCCTGTCATCACATTGACCGGCTGCTCCTTTGGCTCGGCAACATCCTTCTGTAATCTGGACTGAGAATCGGCAACATGCACTTTTGCTGCATCCTCCTTCTCCCATGGAGAGGCTCCCAACCGGAGATTCAGATCCCTGGCCAGCCTCCGCTTTCTCTGGAGCCGATCAGGGCTCATTCCCTGCAACTTCTCCACCTCCACATTTTCTTTCCCTCGCTTCTTGCCCTGTTCTATCTCTCGCAGTTTTTCTTCAGCTTTTCTCTTAATTTTGGCAAACCACTTCTGGTGGATTTTGAACTCCGTCATGGTTCCCACTTCCAGCACACCAGAGCAGGACACGATGCCTTTGTTATTTCTAGCTGAGGCCTGGTAAATGCCTGCATCTTCTTCTCGGCACCTGGAAACCAAAAGCTCTGTGTGAGACCTGCCCGTCCTCCCCAGGCACTACTGCTGGGCACGCAGGCATGCACACTCTCCCGCTTCTTGCTCCAGAGGGGCCAGAAGACGAAGACATGGCCTCTGAGGTGCCCACAGGAGGTCTGGAGGCCTGGGGCTGGCCTTCCTCCCCAGGCTCTGCCTGTACTCAGTACTAGCAGATAAGCAAGTTGGACACTAAATCAGTGCCCATCTCCCCATTGGGCTCTAACTTTGATAAGAGAGGGCTGTGATGGAGGAGGGGAAACAGCTAGCACCAGGCTTCCTGACTGTTCTTGGCCACATTTCTGCAGGATCTTCTCTCAGCTCTTCACAGCCTACATGACATTTCTGTTCTTCCTTCACCCTACTGCCTTATCAAAGCCCTCCTACCTTGCCTCAGACACCAGCACAAGCATGTCCATGACATCTCTGCTGTCACCCCTCGGAGATGCCTGGTCCATGGAGAGCCCTGCTCCTGTGAGAGGTGAGCCAGCCTCTGACAGAAACCTGGAGCACACCTGGGGCAGCAGAAAAGCCCAGGCTAGAAGCATGAGGATGACAAAACTATCAGCAAGACCAACATTCTGTACTTTCAGACAGTGCTGTGCCTGTCTGACATCCCAAATTCAGGATTTGAGGTGCAATGGGTCTCTGTTTGCTGGGGACATGGTGTGACTGGCTCTCCAGAAACACAGTGCTCATTTAAAGTTAAAAGAAGCTGGTAGTCAGGGCTGAATAAAGGAGGCCCTTGGCTCCATCAGTCGAGTGCGCCAAAGCAGCCCTTTCCTTCCCTGACCTCATGGTCAGAGGCCATCCTGGGACAGGGCTGCAGCCCTTCCCCCTCTTTATTCTTGCTTAGGATAGTCCTATCAACTACTCCTGTCCTTGCCTTGCCTGATCCCCTGGACCATCACCCTGCAGGCAGCCAATGCTTTTGCTCACCTTCATCCAGCCCTAATGCTCAGCACTTGCCTAGTGCAGCCATAGCTCATGCTGCCACCATAGCACTAGAAAGCTCCAGAGAGGAATTTCTCCTGACCTTCTTTTTGCTCCCAGCATGGCAGCTATATCTGAAGGCAGTAATGGATCTCATACTGATGTGATCAGGGAGACATCAAAGTGAAGAGCTGAAGGGGAAGGGACAGCCAGCAACATCACAATGAGGAGCAGAAGGAGCCAGCACAGGTGCCGGGGGGAGATCATTGCTGACACACAGCTCCTCCAAATACTGAAAACATGCTCAGAGCTACCATCACCAACTCCAACCACTCCCCAGCTTCTTTACTCACTTGTACAGCTGGAGGGTGTGATGATTTCCATGACGGAATATCTCATACTTGGGTAAGCCACAGTAGCGGTCCATCTCTTCATCATCCTTATACCATGTCACCTCTGGCTGCGGGTATCCTGGGGAGGAGACGGATGGTACAAGAGGGTGTGAAACACTGCAACCAGTAGCACAGCAAGCCTGCTCCCATGGGGACAAGGCATCAACAGCAAAATGAAACGCTCTGGCAGAATAGGATACATGTTATTCTGGGCTCACTGCATTCTTTAAATCACACAGCAGAAAAAGTACTGTGAGTGAAAAACTCATGGGCTTATCCAAGTGTTTTATCACTCCTAGGAATAGGGCTATTTTTGAGAAAAAAATCTCAGCATTTCATTCCTGAACAGAGGGCAGTGGATCACAAAATCAGCTCCTGTAACACTGGCTGGGAGGAGCAGGTGAGCATACTGTCACTTTTATGTGAAGAGTCATGTTTTGATGAGACTAAGGCTAAGGTTAGAAAACAGGCATTTGCCCCTCCGTGGAGCTCACAGAGCCTTTTGCTAAGTGTCACAGCCTGAAAGCTGATCCAAAAGTTTCCACTGAACAGAAACAACCTTGATTGCATCATAGCCAGCTTGGTGTCCTACAAATGTCACTTGACAACAGATGTCACCTGCCTTTTCAGTAGAATGACATCATGACATGTGTGACTGGCTGCCTAGCAGGCCGGGCGCACAGCCATGTTCCCTGCCACCAACAGCAGAGGTGGATCAGCATGAGTGCCCCACATGGACCAGTACGAGCCACAGCCTTCACCTCCCACAAACAGCAGCTCTAGCTCACAGTAAGAGCAGTTTTCCTCTGAAAACTGCTTGAGCCAGTGGCCAACACTGGCTCCTGTACTTTACATGGGACTCCTGGCACAGCCAAGCTGATCCTAAGGGCATGGGATAAAAGTTTCAATGATCACATCATGCCTCCACTTAAGCCCATGCGCTCAACAGTTAAGTCCCAAGGTAGCTATTCAAAGCTTATCTCCTGCAAATGCCCCTGCTGGCTTTCTGTGTGGCTGAAGTGAAGGAGACTGGCACACTGCTCACCTCCACCGGGCCCCAAGGGTCTCCCCACCAGCTCCTGGTGCCTCTGAATGCTGCAGAAGGCCAGCACTAATGGACAACGATGGCATGGGGCCAGCGAGGGTTCTCCAGGAATATTGAAGCGTCCAGACTTGATGGGTCTGAAGCAGAGAGAGCAGGGACAGGGCACGACCTACTTATCCTGGATACTTCCCAGCTGCCAACCAATAGGTTTCAGGGCTACCAAAACCTTTTTCATCTCCAGGGTGAGAAGCCTCCTACTCACACCAGCCAGAGATGCTGGCCGCCTGTAGCAATGCCTGAGACCAGCTCACACCTGCTCCAGTGAAGGTCCCATAGTGGAAGCAAAAGACCAGGAGCAAAGACTCATCAGCAGGAATTCACCCTAGTTCTGGCCAATTCAAAATGCCTTTGACCAGAAAAGCAGCACAGGTCAAATCTCCTCATGTATGCCTTGGTTCCCCCCACCTATTCTGTCCCTATCCATTGTTGGGGCTCTCCAGTGTCCTCTGGCCCCTCCAGGGACTTAACCCACTGGAACCAGACTGGGTTGGGGAAATAGTGTCAGAAGAGTTTCCCTTTCCTGCCCTCCTCCATGAACAACAGCCATCCCCATAGCCCAGACACCCCTGCAGACCAGATTTTACTCTATTTTCCTTTCCTCACCAAGGTCTCTCACACTGCACTGCCCCTGGCATCTACCCTCCCCATCCTCATTGCCTGTACATCTCTCACATCCTTTGCTGCCTCATTCCCCTCCCACTGTTGCCATTGGCAGCTTTGGCTTTCTGTTGATTAGTGCCTCTTTCCTCCCTTTCTGCAGGAAGCCAAGTCATGATTTTCTCCTGAAGCCCTACCTGCAAGTTCTCCATCAGTCTCCTTCAGTCCCTGTCTCACCACCATCTGCTCTTTGCTGCTGCTCTGGCCCTCCAAACCAGTTTCTAGAAGTGCAAAGCCCTCAGATACTTGTAGCTGAACTGAATGAGCCCTAAACTGCTAACTGGAGGAGGCCATGAGAGTATCCCAGTAATGGGATCATCAGTGATCAACGCTGCTGCTTATATTTTCCATAAATCTTTGCTACGGACCATACTTGGCAGCAGGACCCTGGGCTGAATGAGCCTGTGGTGATTTCTTTCTGCTCCAGGGATGAGGAACAAAACAGTTTTCATACACAGCTCACACTTTGCCCAGAGAAATCCTACCCTTCCCAAGTGCTCTTCTGCAGGCAAGACCTTCAGGAGGCCTCCACGGTTTGTAACGCAGGGAGCTAGCAGGTAGATTTTCCTAATACCCTGCAAACAGCAATCACAGTACTTCATTCTGGGAACTACAAGTACATCGTTTCCAAGAAGCCCTGTGATGTCCCCCCATGGCCTCTGCAGCTGATTTCCATTCCCAGCTGACATCTGCTGGAAAGAGCTGCCATTTCTATAGCTGTGCAGTGCCTCGACAAAAGGCTTTTCCTATTAAGCCTAAACTCCCTTTGACCCGAGTACTTGTGTCCTTGAGTCTATCTGCTCCCTACCAGGGTCCACCACCCCACCAGCCCAGCACAGGCAAGGAGGGACTAGTTCCTGCTACACACTCTGGCCTGCAGCAAAAGGGAGCTACAGGCAAGTGCTGGCTGGAAATCCAGAGGCAGAGGGATGCTGACAGGCTTCCCAACTCCCACTCAGAAACAATAGCCTCAGCTGCCTGTTCAGACACCAGCCATCCCTCCCCAGGGGCTGTAACCAGATCCAAGCAGGGGATGGAGAGATGCCTGCACAGGGACAAGGCTTCCAGGCATGCCCTGTGCTCCGCTGGGGGGGGAGCTGCAGCTGACACTGCAGGCATCCATCCTCAGGCTGCTGAGCAAATAAATTCACCTGGTCTGGGGGCAAGGGGGACAGGCATCACTCTCAGCACATCCCCTGAAACCACAAAATCCGCAGCTTGCCCAGCTGCCAAGACAGGCCAGTTTTAAGGGTGCCAGTGGGCCAGAGTGGTGGAGCCACAGGGTTCATTGGCAGGCAGTGCCATGCTGCAGGGAGTCGGATGCCCACCCTTAACACAAGCACGTCGCAAGACAGAGCAGCCATTCATAAATCAGGCACTCGCCCTTCCAAAACCTATCACTCCCATAGAACCCCCCCCCTGCAGCTGGTGTTGACAGGGATTTGCCAGCAGCTGGTCCCCTGCATCCACCAGCAAGTGCCCTGAAGTTGCAGACAGAGCGGTGCCGGGCCTTCCTGGAGAGGAGAGCAGGCATCTGCTTCATATCTTTGAGCCCAGCAAAATTTTTTTGGGAAGCATGTCTTCCAGCAGCACTGCTCTGGCATGATGGCTAGTTATTGCCAGAGGAGGCCAGTTACAAGCCCAGGAGACTTTCCTGATCAAGGCACTTTTTTGCATGAAGACTGCAGGGTTTAGATCAAACATTCTTTTTCCCATAGCTGTTGAAGTCTGAGAAGTCTTCAAAGCTTTGGTGACATTCTCCAAACAAGTTCTTGCAACAGTTATCCAAAAATCACCCAGAGAAACTGTTTAAATCAGCTTTTTTTTTTAATTTTTATTATTGGGGCAGGGGTTGAGGGGAGCTAGTCTTCTGAAACTCAAGAAGGTAGAAATATTTTTATAGCAATTAGACAATCTCCACCATTATCTGCTTCTGCTCTACACAAGCTACATGGAGGCAGTTTTGGGAGCAAAAATCATGGTAAGATCTCACCCTTTCTGGCATTTAAAGAAGACAAGGAGGCTTCCAGTAACACTAACAGGAAGGACAGATGCTCACCAAGTGTAGTAGTTCCCCATGCCACCAGCTGCGAGCGGTGTTCATTCACTATCCCTTTCTTACCCTGGCTGCCTCAAACTCAGGCACCCTCATCTCCCACCAGCCTGCTCTCTGCATTTGCACTCACTACCTCACCCCCAAACCCACCCATCCACCCCTCTTGCAGCCCCTGCATTTCTCCAGACATCCTCCATCCAAGCACTTCACTCTCATCCTTCAAACATTTCTCTAAAAGAGCCACCACAGATACGAGTTGAACTCCTTTATGCTTATTAAATTCATCTGCTAATTACATGACTGTCTACTCACCTTACTCCAACTCTCTTCCCCAAGCCCTTTCCCCTCCACAGCCCTACAATAAACCTAGACTGTTTCTGGGCACATTGCTTTGGTCCCATCCTCTCTGGGGACATGCTACTCACCACAGTGCAGATGATGGAGCACCTGCATAGCATGGGAGAGGTACCAGGCTGGCACTTCTTCAGCACAAGTACTGACCCACAAAGGGATTGATGGAACTGAGCTCCTGATCTGATGATTTGGGTAGGCAGGGCAGAGAGGTTAAGCCTGCCTAAGGAGGGCTGAAATGGCACTGCACAACAGAGGGCAATATGTGGGACTGACACAATGATCTTGGTTACATCCAGTCAGCACCTCTCCCAGGTGGCCTCAGTCTCTAACAAGCAGTCAGAGACCCAGGCTCCTTCATCCAAGCCCCCACATTTCATCAGCCAACATCTTTCCTTTCCAGCCAATGCTATACAGATATGACTGAACAGTTGTAAAAGCCTCCAATAAGGGCCACTCTCTGAAGAGAAGAGCCCAACACCCACTCACTGGGAAGGATCTGTGATGACCCTTAAGATCCTGAAGTCCAGACAAACCCACCAGGGAAAACACTTGGTGCAGAAAGCAGGGTGCGCTCTGCTCTGTAAGAAACTGCACAGTAAATGGAAACATTCTTGTTTCCTTTTTCACATGTCACGGAGAACAAAGGATGAACTAATTTTGTCTAAAAAAGAAAACATGTCATAACTGATGCAGGATTTGACCAAAACAATCAAATCAGACATACTAGGGACACCAGTAGAGGCAGAACTAAGTAACAGGAGGAAGGGAGTGTTTATGCAACCACCTAAGAGCATCAGGAAGTCTGCCTCTGCCTGGCTTGCTTTTCCACTTGCCTGCACCACCCAACACATTTGGGAGACTGGTTCTTCAAACACCTGCATCTTGCTGCCTTTCCAGGACATGGTCAGCAAGACACTGGTATTCACAGATGGGGGACTATCCTGTAACTCTCATTATTAGTCAGAAGCAGCAAAGAAATATTAAGATGTTATTGTAGGTCACGTACATTTGTGGCTTGAGAGTCAAAACAAGAGCAGCTGACAGTCTGCCCTTTGCCTCCTGCAAGTTTATGAACCAAAGTGTCCCTGGACTCCAGCCACAGTAGTGGGACTGCGCTGGTTCCACTCTGGACACCAGCCAGGGATGCCACCACCACTTCCTTTCTCCCTGTAATGTCTCCCAGTTAAATGCAAACATTATGGCAGGGGGAGATATCTGAACTATTGATCAGACTTTGCAGTCAGAGTTCACTTTCCACCTTGTGCCCCTCTCTTACAAAGAGATCCTGAGCTCCTACACCAGTCCACAGGACCACATGCAAAAGATGACCACATGGTATAGATGGTCCAGGCTGCTTTTAAGGATGTTCCCATGAAAATTCCTAATTTTGTAAGTCTATTAATTTAAGTGCATAAAGACATCCCCCAATCCAGCTTAACAGGTTCAAAAATACTGTGATAGGCTAGATGCTGAAGATGGTCATTTGATACTTTCCTTCACTTGAGTAGAAAATGAGATCGGTACCAGGTCAAGTTTTAAACTTGGTGTAACACACCAGGTTGTGCTACATAGCACCAGCAGGCTATCCAAAACTAGAAGGCAATGTCCTGCCTACCAAGAGCAAGGGAGGACTGCAGGAAGGGCTACAGTCAATACTTGAATTTTGGTACAAGCAGAGAAGGTTATTCCTTGACATCATGTCTCCGGGAAAATATAGAGTGAAGAGTTCCAAGAGCTTCTCTAGCTTTTCCAGGGGAGATGCTGGAAAGGACATGGACACTGAGTTTACAATGCCTCCTTGGTAGCACTGACTAAAGTATCTCCTCTCCATTCCTCTTGAAAGGAAACTTGCATGTTGGGCACCACACATGCAGAGCTCATTGTGAACTAGAGCTCATCTGCACAAATGCACCTCACCCTGACAGAGCCCATGTGGAGCTGATGCTGTCACCTGGGCTTTGGAAGAGATGAAGATTGTTAGAGGAAACTGTCAACCTCAAAGTGCAATTGGTGAAGACTCAAGCCAGTGAGAGAAGCTGGGACTAGAGACTTGGAAAGGGGCAAGCACTCCTGGAAGGAGAGCAGTGCTATCGAATAACCTTGCAGGAAGAGCCATGCTCTGGATCTGCAGCACTTCTACACTTTCAGGCAAGGGGAGGTGGAAGACAGAATTGTATCTGCTCAGGATTTCCTAACATATCTAAACATCACTCAGTTTTTGACCTCTGATGCTCATGGCTTGCAGAATGGTGAGTTCCATTCTACCGCACAGTATGTCAAGCTTTTTCTTTCAGAAAACTTTAGTTGGAAAAGTCCTTCTAATGAAGGGCCTGGTTTGGAGGCATCTCCCTAGCAGCTCACTTTTGCCCTAGAAGCAGGAAGTCGTCTGCTGAAGTTAAGCATCAATCTATCAGTTGCACCCTTGCAAGTTCAGAAAGTCAGACCTGCAAAAGAAGTGAATACATTAGAGAAGAGCCAAGAATTCAAAGCTGGCAGCTCTCAGAAGGGCTCAGTCTGCATTTCCTGGTGCACTGCTTATTTACAGCATGTTTCTAATAGTAAATTAGATTTTCTACATCTTAGGAAAGTCTTGGTCCTTGTGACTAAGAGGCTCACTGGAGATACCCTCCTCCTTCCAAAACTTACAAACTTGTTTAACATCTCTCACTGAGTATCAGTGAATGTCATAAAAATTAACATGAGTGACATCAGGAAGGATCACAAAGTCATAAACAAGTACATACTATGTATGTAAAAAGTTTCCATAATATGTATGAAAAAAGAGGTTTTAGAGTCTTTACATAGTCTCATCAGCAAAGGAGCTGCTTGCCTTTACACCAATGCCTGCCATGCACCATCACAATGCCTTAGTACCAGCTCTCTTTCAGACTCCCCCCTCCTCCTCTTATTGGCCTAACCACTTCCTGCCCAAAGTTAGATTTTAGCTCACTGGGCAGAAACCAGCTTTTATTTCAGATGTTGAAAGACACACAAGTTTATCACTGATGCAAACACAGCTGCACTCTAATCATTTACAGCCAGCAAAGAGAGCCAGAATGGGATCCAGTATGATAGCCTTAGTCTTCAAAACTGCACATTCCTGAGTTATGGAGTCTAGGATTAGAGAAGCAGAGATTAAGACAATAAAATGTAGCTGGCCCAAGCAGTAACCAGCATATTTCATTTTCTGGCCTTTAATTTGCCTTGTTTGAGATGTTAGGTTATGCCTTTGCCTCTTCACAATCTCAGGTGTTTCCCCCCCTCTTAAATTAAAGCTGAAATCATCATGCAATTGCTGAATCTCTACTTGGCAGTCTGGCAACAGTGGATTTGTTAATGTATTGCCTTGTTATCACTTGCTCTAGAGTTTAACTAGCACAAGTCCAGCAAGTGAGGCAGGACCAGGTTATTAACTGAAGACACTGTTACCTGTCACTATGCACGTGAATTTAGCATCAGAGTCCTCGGACACAGAACGGGATTTGATAGTGGTTTCAAATAGTGGCTGGGTTTCCTCCGTCAGCTGAGAAATGATTGCGCAGAAGGTGCTCCTGGAAGATTCAAGAAGCATTTAAGAGATCAAAGTACTAGAAAAATCAAAGGGTCCACTTTCTATCTCACCTCAGAAGCCTGTGTTCTTGTTGTAAATGCCCTCCTTCCCTCCCATCATCCCTACACTAGGTTGTTCACAAGTCTAGTCCAGTGTCAGGGTATCTGACTTTTTCTATTCCTAAAATGACTGTCAATTTAAAGTGTCATTTAAGAGGAGTTCCCTATGTCTTAGCCCTTATGGCGATCAGGGTAATGAATGTTCAGAACCATTTTAGTTCTTGATTATACCAGAACATTTCTTTGATCAGCCAGCAGGCTCAAAGCAAGATCCTAACAAAGTCAGCTTCACATTCCCAGTACTGCACCATGGGTGTTTCAAGTATTGTTCTGTTCACTGGGATTCTTTACCTGTGAAGACTTCATATGTAATTTCAGGCCAAGTGTGAACCAAACATGTCTCCCAAATACAACAGCCCTCTTTCAAAGTTTTGAATTAAGAAAAGATGACTGCTGTGGGGACAGCTCAGTGAAGGAGACCTTGAGCCTGACTTGCAGCTTTCTGAGATCAGGAATTATGTGTGAAGCTGACATCCATTCCCTGTTTAACCTCTCACTGCTGCAGGCAGGCACTCACACTACATACTCCATGAGTTCAGGTACTGACCTCAAAGTTTAGGCTGGAACACCTAAATAGCCAGAACTATCCAAATAGTGCAATCTGTGAAGCTCAACATGGACCTTAGATTCTCCAGTCATTTAAGCACTATTCAATGATAGCAACAAATCACCATATTCATACAGCACTGCCAACCCTGCTGGAGCATCACCAGGAGAGGCCCCAGAAGATCTGGGCTTTCTAAATTAAAGGAAAATTAATTCATTCCAAGTTGGGGTCTTCATTTGGATAGTGCTCTGGGGCTTGTGGAAGGGAAGAGCTGCTTCTTTTGTTTCTCCCTCTGCAATTAGAACACTACACATTTACACTAGTAGAGAGCACCTCAAGGTCTCAAGTGCAAGGATCTTAGGAGAAACAGCAAATATTGCAAGAGAACCAGTAGCTGGCAGCTCTACTTATATCATTTTTAGTAGTGAAAAACATTCCTTAAACAAGTGATCAGCTTCTAGAGACATGCAAGAGGTGAAACAAACCCCCAGACCATTCCTGACACAGCTCCACCACGAGCAGAAGGGCTCATAGCACGTAGTGAGGGCTCCTCAAGGAAAACCCCAGCCTCACAAGCAGCCCCCGGCTTGTAGGCAGGATGCTGGTGCTGCTGCTACTCATGCTCTACCTGCTGAGGAAGCAGACTTGTTCAGGAAAAACAAAAGAAGAAACCACATTTAGCATGAACCCAGCAAGGTCAGGTACATTGACAGGCTCTGCAACAGGGACTGAACTGCAACATACAGCTGAAGGTGCCAGGATAGCTATGGCCACAGCAACTGCCTGCTTCATCCATCCAGAAGACTTACCTGGAGGTGTTATGATTTTCACTCTGGCTTCCTACTAGAATGGGTTTGTAAGAGACACAGGGAGAAGAACCCCTGAGTAACAAACAACCAGGGTGCCATGGGAGTCTCATCCAGCCCCCAGGCACTTTGTGTTGGGTAAGGGTACAGGACAGGAGCAGCTAGGGCTGTTGCAAACTTGACTCATCTACTGAACAAGGGTTATAAGCACTGTCTGTATTCAAACACACGTGGGGGATGGGGTGAAAAACAGATGCCACAGCTCAGACTCTTTTCTGTGGAAATCAATGGTCCCCAGGAGACTGGTCCTGGCAAGCAACTCTCCACACAACTACAGGGCTAGGAAAGGCCTGTGGGAGCTAACAGCTGTTTCATACCAGAGAAACCTTTCCATACTCCAAACCCAGGAGAAAAAACTCCAATTTCCAAAGAGCAAGGCAGACAATCCCATATCAAGACAGTTACTGGCGGGGTTTTGAAGACCCCTTCAATACAGATCCCCAGCCCTAGACCAGTAAATGCCTTTTAGATTAACATAAGGAACTTCCCAAGCATCAATGAACATTTCATACCCCAGCAGAAGAGCAACCAGATCAGCATCTTTAAAAAAGTGATGCGCACACACAGTGACATTCGGGACCAAATTTAATCCCAGTACCATGCCACCCATACCAGCAGGAAGCACCAGGAATAAGTCCGGTCCATTCAGTGCAAATCCGACAATCAGGTGAAATCCAACAAAGGCTACTGAATAGTTTAGGAAAGCAGCATCACCAGAAGCTGGTGGCTCCACAGGCACAGCAGATGAATCAGAAGAGACTTGCCCAATGTACACCTGGCAGGAAGCCCTGGAAGGTCTATTTAATCTTTCAAAAAAACCATTGTGTTAGTCACAGGGGGCTTTTAGAGACTGCAGCACTGTGGGGCTCTCAGCTGACTCACTCCAGCTGCAACAGACTTGTCCAATTCAAATTGCTTTCTAAACCAGTAATTCAGAGCATTCAAGAAATCTGATATAAGCAGCAGCCGCTCTTCCTCCAGGCCTTCCTGGAGAGCTGCATCTTTGTTGCAGAAAAAGCCCTGGAGCCTAAGAGGAGGACACCAGGAATTCAGTAGCCTTTTACATTAAAGAGGGATTTCCATACAAAATCAGTCCACAGAAAAAGATATAAGAAGTATATCCTTCTTCATCATGATTTTCTTTTCCTGATTTTTTTGATTAGCAACCCCACAGCTTTTGGGGTATTCTGGAGAGATCTGTACCCTCCACGGTCATTCCTCTACCTGCTTCTGCAGCAAACCAGTAATGTCAAATGATTTCCAGTTGTGTTAGTTTGCCAGAGGCAAAGTACAATGCTACAAGTGCGTTTCAGAGCAGAGTCCAGATGAATGAGGATCTTCACAATAAAGCACAGGATAGCAGGGGGAGAAGAAGATTTCTTCTCTGAAAATCTTAGGGCAGGCACATCTAATTTTTAATGTCTCTGTATGGAAGTCCCACTTTAATAACAAGAAGTAGCTGAACACCCATCCTATGGCTAAGAAAGAGGAGTACTTCTTGCACCTTAACACAGGAATTACAATGAACATTCACTTTGCTCTCTATAGTTCAAGCAAGTATTAGGGATCCAATCATGCAGAATTAGGTTGTTAGATCACTTCATGGCTCTCTACTAATTAGTTAGTACCAAAGCATTACTGATTAATCATGTGCAGTCAGATTCAGCAAAGTGTTTGGACAGAGCAGTTTAATGCAATGTAGTTTTACCTTCCTAAACTGGAGGGAGAGAATCTGCTGCTTGATAAGCTAAGCAAAAAACAGCATAAAATTCATTAGATGTAGAAGCATGGAAAGGAGCAGAAATACCATTACAGAGATGTATTAATGATGAGTCGTTTTGCACAAGTCAGAGTTCCTATTAAAAGAAGGTACAGCTGCCTTACTCGGGCTGACTGCCAGGATGAGCAAGCCACATTGTCAATTGAAATCAAAGGCTGTAAAAATGAAATGGTCGTTAACCGCAAAGAATAAGTGTAAGGACATTTATACAAGTAGGTTTCCAAGAAGCAGCACCTGAGCCTTCCATGCACCATCCGCAGCGTTGTGCTCAAAGCAGGCAACTCCACCCCGGGAGATGTTCGATTAAACGGCAGGCAGGAGTACAGACCGTTGCAAGCCCACTTCTCTGCTGGCAAGCAGGTGGCCTGAGCTGGTCACCCTCTGTGCTTCCAAGGACAGCTCGCTCTTTGGAGAAGCTGAAAACTCTCTGGTCACTATACACCGCTTTCCAGCTTGCCAACCAACTCACTAAGGTCTGGCAAAAAATTAAAATAAAATAAAAGAAGTGGACTTTACAGGAATCTACAAGTTTTGTTTTCTTTGCAGGAACATAACATTAACCAATTCAGGGAAAAAAAAAAAACACAACAAAAAAAAACAACAAAACCACCCAAGTCCTACACAAGGGACCCCCAGATGAGCTACTTACCAGTGGCCATCAGCTCTCCCAAAGGAGTGTCTTCAAGGACTCATGTCCTAGCCAAAAGACCACACTGCATATTGTGGCAGCAGCCTCTTGCAGGCTGTAGAAAATAACCTCTCAGCATTGACCCTCAGCAGTCAGGAGCAGTTCCTCAGAGCCTGAGCTCACCCACATGGCAATCAAAAGCCTAAAACTAAGTAGGTACCAGCTAATCAACAGCACATAAGCTCAGTGATTTAATCACACTAAGATACACGTTAGTTATGCCTATGCAACAACCTCACCATATAGCCTGCAGCGTGGCCATCCCTTCTGGGGTATAAGAAGTCAGACTCCCACATCGGTACATGCAGAGAGATCAAACCTTCTCAGCCTTGTGCACTGAAGACCACCATTGAACAACCAAGCTTCAGCACTTTACGATGATGCTACAGAATACAGCGTGAAGAACCCAGAAGGGTGCATCCTGTCAGGTCTCCTACCCAAATGACCGTATCCAGGCTCTGTGCAAGTCCCAACTGCACATAAGTCAACAGGACTTCAAGTCTTGCTCTAAAAATTATCACATACGGTCTCCAAAAATTGCTCCTGCCAACCATATAGCAATTCCATCTGTGAAGACAGAACCTCCATGTGAATAAGTTAAAAAGTAATTCAGTTTGAAGGCCTGACACTTTTACACACAAATTGCACATTTTCATTGGAGAAGAAAACCAGCACTCTGAAGAGCTCACTGACTCCTTCTGATCAGGAGAGCAAAGACAGAAGTTTTAGACAGCCACTCAGGAGCAGCTTTAACCAAACAAACACGGGTGGCACTTGCCCTTTTGGCAGCAGCTTCACCCTCTCCACCCCCAGCCACACGATCCTGATCCCTCTCCAGTGCCAACTGCTGTTCATGCAGCCACAAAATGATCAGATGAGGTGTTATTCAGCTGGAAAATTCAAACACTAACCATAACAGGCTGAGGATCAGCACCCCGATCCATCTTGCATGCACTGTGCTGGCGCATGGGAGAAGTCAGACAGAGGAACTCTGTCTTTCCTGCTGAGCCCCACCACCTAGGGCATCCCTTTGAGCCCCATGTCCAGCCCAGCACTTCAAGGCATGCTTTTATTACCTGCCTCACCGACCAGCAAGTCACCCAGTCCTCATCATTCCCAGCCACCCTAACAGCCTAGAAAGTTCAAATTGCACCTGCAGCTGCTCTCACCCTGCCCTGACCTCCCAGGGGGATCAAGCCTCCTCCTCCCCACAAGCCTCCCAGGCCCAAGCACAGCCACCCCAGGAGATCCCAGGGCAGCAGCACGGACGGGCTGCATCCCTGTGTTCTGGATCGCCCCCAGGAAGCTCTGTCTAGCTGGAAACACGGGCTTAAATAGTCTCAACCACCAGCTTTTCCAACAGTGAATGAACCCCAAAACATTTTGCCTACCACTGCATGGCAAAAAAGTCCTTATAGCCTCCAGGAATACGAAGGACCTGGGCATCGCTTGAGGAGCCAGCAGGGAAGATCCTAAAACATTTGCTGGAGAACGTTAGTATAGGCAGAAGTGTGGTTTTAATCACACTGTCCTGCATAAGACAAGCAGGAAGGTGTCTTGGCTGGGATGTAAAGAAAATCACTCAAATTGCAAGAGTCAGAATAAAGGGTGCCTGTGGCACAAGCTCCTTGCGCTCATGAATGTGATCAAACAGTGAGCACCATCAGTACTTTTTTTTAATTCCCAGTGTTGAGCACACACCCTGGGCTTTATTCACTGCACATGCTGCAACACAGTGCTAAATGCTGGACTGAGGGTCTCTTGAGGAGCCTGGATATTATTAAAAGAAACAGGCCATCACCAAAGATCCACATATTAACTAAAGTTTAACCTCAATATGCTAAGGAACCAAGCAAAATTTGCTTTTCAGACTAGAGATTTAAGTCCAGAGAGAGCAAGATCAAATTCTGAATGCTTCAGCCAGAACAGCCCTGCCTGCAGGCAGCTGGCATTTCACTTCATTTTAATTACATTCACAGCATACCCGCACAGAGCTGCAACAGCATAACTACAGATTCTAAACCAAATCTTCCCACTTGGAAATGTGGGACTCCTGAGCAAGGCACAACAGCTGCCCCAGCATGCCCGTCTGACACTCTCTGGGACTGGGCTGTCTGTGTCTTCAGCTGCCCAGAGACTTGTTAGAGCACACAGGACAGGACTCTGCTGCTGAAACACAGCACCAGCAGCAGATGTGCCCCCCCTCCAATCAAGTTTGGGGTCATTATAGTTACTGGATGAAGGCAAATGCTTGTTTTATCCTGAGGAACAAATCTCAAGTGGGTGAATCAATGTCTAAACGTACTGCTTTCACTTCACTGGAGAAGGGGAGCTCAGAGAGGTCTGCTTCAGACATGTCCAGCATTGGTGGGAGGAAAGCCTCCTCAGGCACTCTGCATCTCTGAAGTGCAGTACAGCTTGTTAAAAGCTAGACCTGAACATACAGGTTTGGTTACTAACTGCTGTGGCACTGGACTGTGGAATTATACTCCTCTACTATGCACCTTCTAGCAGCCCCAGTTCTTCTTTAAATTCTGTTTTATCAGATGCTTTCAAACTCCTTTGGACATTTATCATCCTCTTAAAGGTTTTTAGCCCTTCAACTACTCAATTTTCTTCAGAAGTGAAGAGAGTCTTCTCCATTTTTCATACACTTGCCAAATTTCAGTCTTGCTGCAAGGGCAGGAGGCAGAACTGTCAACCCCAGCCACTTTCTTTTAAAAATCGCTGAGAACATTGCTCAAGTTGATGGCTTAGGCTGGTATATCACCCCACTGGCACTGAAAAGTTAACTCCAGCACCTTTTCTAAGCCTCTCACACAATCACTGCATGAAAATCTCCTCTTTCCGTATTTCTTCTCCACAAGATTAAGAAATCTTTCTCCTTCCAGCTCATGTCCTCATATAGAAGTCAACAAGAGCTCAGGAGGCTCTGAAATAGGCTTCACAGTGGCTCCATCCTCACATGTACACATACAAGTACATGGACTTGATCTGCTTGAGCTGCAACAGTTATTAATATATTTCAGTGCTCTTCCACAGCTCGAAAATTGAGCCACACAAGCTGTCCAGTGCAGCAAGTAAACAGCAAAACTTGTCAATGACAGCAAAGCTGAGACCTCTGAGTTATGTTTTGACAGAAACAGCATTGCTTAAAAGAGCCTACTGAGAACCGGGCAGCCCTTCCATCCTGTGAGCAGGACAGGGGGATGGCCCTGGCAATCCCCTCCAGGCACTCCCTCTTGCTGGCACTCTGACCTGTGACATTATTGGGCATGTTTTGCACATGCAGACTTCCAAGTATAAGATTTCATATGAACTTCTCTGCCTCCAAGGTTAATACTACTTGAGACAAATACAAGCCACGCTGAATATCTTCTCAGCTGTCAGTAGCTAACCATTTTCAACATTTAAAAGCCAACAATGAAGCTTTCATGTACATATGGTTATGTTTAAGGCTTCTTTCCTGCCACTTGTCCTGTTTCTTATCAAGCACTTCATGCACACACAGAACAAGTGTGTTTGTTTCATATACCATGGCAGTAATTATCAGCAATCCTGTGATAAAGCAGCTGTGAGTGCTATGGAGCTGTACAAGACACATTGTTATTTCACAGACTGGAAAATGGATGTATTGAGTCTTTCCCTGTCAAGGTCATGGAACAAATCTATGTCAGAGCTGGAGAAATATGGCAATTTTTCTGCCAGTAATTTACTTAGAGCTGAGATAAACACAGACTTGCATGCAACAATTTAGAGCTAGATTTCATTAACAGAGAAGGTGGAAAAAAATAAATTGTTACATATTCCTGTATCAGCCTCTAAGACTCTGAAGATGGCTCAGATCTGTGATTTTTAACTCTGAATTATTGTTGCCTTTATGGTCCAAATTAATCTAGTAGTTAGTTGAAAGACATAAAGGAATGAGAAAGGAAACAAAGCAAATATGGGACAATGAGATGCCCAGAAAAGCTGATATCTTCTTGATAACTCATTGTGAGTAGAAGACTTTAGTGGCTGTGGGTTAGAAAAGAAGCAAGTTGTTCCTAACAGCTCTTCTACCTTCTTCTTGGACCAGGCAATGCTGTGAAGTGTGAGACTGAACTGGTGTGAGATAACAGCCTCATTCACCCAAGACCTTCCTCCCCTCACTGAAACAGAGTGAGGACAGAGCAGGTTTTAATTCCATCTCCTGGGAACTGCTTCTACTGTGGTGCCTCTGAAGAGGTGCCTTGTTCAGAGGAGACCACGCAGTCAGATCCCAGGCGTGGGAAGTGTCTCCATTTATGAGGTTTCCAGAGAAAAGCAAAGTTCACACGTGTGACATTCTGTCTTTTAACAGTGGTCCTGTAGAGCACTGTTTGTCCAGCTCCACATCTTCATCTTCCAGTCATGATCAGCTCATCAGCCCACATACTCAGCTCCCCTTGAATTTCTAGGAGATAGGAACAGGAGGCTTTAGAAAGGGGGCTGAAAAGTGCAGTTTGGGATTATTATTCACTGTGCACAACTGCCAAGGAGCCCCACCCAAAACAAGGCACCCCTGTGCAGATAATTACACCAACCCAAAAAAGATGCCTCTATACTAGAAATCAGGCTCGAGATTAATCCATCAGTGCCTTTACTTTTGCCTTTCCAGTACGTACCAGATGTCCCTCCTTTCTGAGTTTGAGACACTTCCATCTGACAAGACAAATGGACCAAATTCCCTCAGATGCCACAGCTGGTTTCTCATCAGGGATTTACACCACTTGTTGTCAAAAGCAAGGTCCCATTACAGGTGCCCAGCTGCTGAAGAGGGAATTCCTCTG